GTCAGTTTCGTTGTAGTTGACATTGGTGTTTTTGCTGATTTGCTGCCATCTAACTCAAACCTTTTGACCAATGATCTAGCATATTTACTTTGAGAGATAAACATGCCATCATCTGTTTGTCTGACTTGTAGTCCTAGGAAGAAGTTCAACTCTCCAAACATGTTCATTTCAAACTCATCACTCATCATTTGCACAAACTCATCCACCTTTTTCTGAGTGACAGACCCAAATACGATGTCATCAACATACACCTGAACAACCATCAGAACTTCATCCTCCTGATGAACAAACAGAGTCTTGTCTACTCCCCCTCTTTTGTACCCGTGATCCACCAAGAACGAGGTTAACCTCTCATACCATGCCCGGGGGGCTTGTTTCAGGCCATACAATGCTTTCTTCAGGCGAAAAACATGATCAGGATGATGAGGATCTTCAAAGCCAATGGGTTGTTCGACATATACTTCCTCTTGCAGGATCCCATTTAAGAAAGCACTTTTAACATCCATTTGGTAGAGCTTGAAATTTAGACTGCAGGCAACACCAAGGAGCAAGCGGATGGATTCGAGACGAGCCACGGGTGCAAAAGTCTCATCAAAATCAACACCTTCAACCTGAGTATATCCCTGAGCCACCAGCCGAGCCTTGTTGCGAACTATCTCACCAAGCTCATTGGACTTGTTCTTGAACACCCATTTGGTCCCAATAACATTTGTATGCTGAGGACGTGGGACTAAGACCCATACATCATTGCGGACAAATTGTTCTAGCTCCTCTTGCATGGCCCGAACCCAAAACTCATCTTCCAGTGCCTCACACACTTTCTTGGGCTCGATTTGAGAATTAAAACAGGTAAACCTAACCAAGTCTTTGTAGTTGATCCTTGGTTTACCTCTTGTTTGTCGAGAGGCATGAATATCACCAATGATGTCTCCAGCAGAGTGATTCCGATGAACTGAGATTGGCGTGGTCGTATTGGTGCTCAAGTCTTCAACATGATCAATATCAGATGATGAATCGTCAGTGTCGATCTTCTCAGATGGTGTTGACTCAGCACGAGATAGTTCTGAGTTCTGAGAATCACCAAGTGGAGGAAGAAAAACTTCTTTAGATTCTTGTACCATTTCTTCATCAAAAATGACGTTGGCAGACTCCATCACTGTCTTAGTACGCAGATTAAATACTCTGTAAGCCGCCGAGTTTTGAGCATACCCAAGAAATAGTCCTTCATCACTTCTTGCGTCCATTTTACCCAAGTATTCTCTGTCATTCAAGATATAGCAGATGCATCCGAAGATGTGAACATACTTGAGAGGTGGACTTCTCCCTTTCCAAATCTCATAAGGAGTTTTAGTCATGCCAGGTCGAAGATAAATCCGATTAATTAAATAGCAAGCCGTGCTCATGGCCTCTGCCCAGAACCAAGTGGCAACATCCCTAGCTAGCAACATAGATCGTGCCATCTCTTGCAGTGTTCTGTTCTTCCTCTCTACTACACCATTTTGTTGTGGTGTTTTAGGTGCTGAGAATTCATGAGATATACCATGAGTGTCACAGAATCGTTGAAACGCATCATTGTCGAATTCTCTACCATGATCACTTCGAATGCGTTGTACCATACCCTTGCCATTTTTCAGCTGAAGAACTAGATGCTGTATAGCTATACAGGCTTCTGATTTTTCTCGTAAGAAACGAACCCAAGTAAATCTGGAATAATCATCAACACAAACCAAAACATACCTCTTGCCACCATAGCTTTCTGTTTGCATTGGTCCCATCAGGTCCGTGTGAACAAGTTCCAAAATGTGTGATGTATGTATCTCCTCTGTTTTCTTGTGTCGAATGCGAACTTGTTTGCCAAGCTGACAAGCTTTGCAGACAAACTTGTCACTGTGAGAAAGTTCTGGAAGATTCCGAACAGCACCTGACTTAGATAGCTTGACCAAGGTTCGCAGATTAATATGTCCCAGTCGTTGATGCCACAGGTTCAGCTCATCTTTCTTGGCTATAAGGCACTTCTGTCCAGAGATCCTTTCTGAGTTAACCCAAGTATAGCAGTTGTTAGAATTTCTTCTCCCAGTCAACACACACTTGTTTGCCTCATCCGTTACAAAACAGGCATTCTTGGTGAACTTAACTCGCATCCCACTGTCACAGAGCTGACTGATACTAATCAGATTAGCTTTCAGCCCCTGCACGACTTTAACATCAGTCAGTCTAGGTAATCCATCACAGTGTAAAGTTCCTTTACCTAGAATTCGACCTTGCTTGCCATCCCCAAAAGTGACACTTCCTCCTTTTTGAGTTTCTACAAAATCTCTCAATATACCTTGATTCCCTGTCATATGTCTGGAACAACCACTGTCAAGGTACCAGACTCCTGAGTTGTCACAGTTTTCAGTAGTATAAGCTACATGACACATCAGATCAGACTTTCGAATCCATTTGAGATTCCAAACTGGAGGGTTGTAGGATGACGAAATGAACCTCGAGTTTCTTCTGTTTTGTTTCAAATAGAAGCAATTCCTCCGAATGTGTCCCAATTTTCCACAGTGATAGCAGGTTCTACTTTCCCTTCGATTGTAGACTGGCTTCCACACAGGTTGTTGTGGTTGTGAACTTCTATACTTTGGCAAGGGCACTTCTTGAGTCAGATTTCCTCCAGATACAAATTTGGAACTAGATTTTGTATGCCCTTGATATCCAAGTCCCGAGTGATCACCTGAACTTCGGCCTAAACCAAGCAGATGATCCAACTTCCCAGTACCACTACCAAGAAGATGGAGATTCTTCTTGGTCTCTTCCAATTGACACTTCATACTAGATGCCTCCTCCTCTTTCTGAGTCAGCTCTTGTTGTGTCCTTGTCAGTTGCATCTGAGCTTGCCTGAGTTCTTTCTCCAGTTGCTGTTTTTCACTGATAAGTTGTTTATTCATATGCACCAGCTTAGTCATTTCTTTAAAGAGTTCTTCTTCAGTGACCTCCTCTCCGTCACTATCCACTTCTTGACATTCCTCTTCAATAACTCCAAGAAAAGCCACAAAGTTTGACAGATCCTCTCCTCCGCCATCACTTTCTGAGTCTGTAGTCTCCTCTTCATGAGTAATCAGAGACTTTCCCTTACTCTTGAGACACTCCACCTTTGTATGGCCGAAACCTTTACATTCGAAGCATTGTGTATCTTTTAGATTCTTCAGTACACTCTCCCTTTTGGTGATACTTGGACATTCCGCCTTCCAGTGTCCTGAGCCCTTACACTCCAGACATTTCCCAGCATCTCTATCATTTGATTGGCCGAATTTCTTTTTCCCTTTGAAGAATTTATTAAACTTCCTGACAACAAGGGACATTTCCTCATGTAATTCCTCTTCAGACAGCTTCTTGTTCCTCATGTTTTTTCTGACTTCCTGATCTACCACCTTAGTCTCCGGAACATGCAGAGCAACTCCTTTCCTTGAATGCACAGACGATCCTCCATTCATCAGCTGGAGTCTCAGTTCATGAGCAGCAAAAGTCCCCACAGCCTCTTTGAAGGTGACTGTATCCAAATTGTTAACACCTTCAAACACCAAGATCTGTGAGTGAAACTTGGTTGGTAGACAGTTCAGCAGTTTCTTCACTAGCTTGTCATAATTAATCCTCCTACCAAGCACACTTGCCTCATTAGACAGTGCGCTTAATTTGCCACAGAACTCCTTGACACCTTCATCATCTCCCATCCTTAGACGTTCAAATTGCAGATCAATCATGTCCAGTATGTTTCTTTTTACCTTAGAGGTTCCTTCATGGATGAGTTCCAAGGTGTCCCAGGCTTCTTTGGCAGTTTCACATCCTTGAATCTGCTCAAATTCCTCATGACACACACTGCTGAATATTATTGATAGTGCCTTCTGATTCATAGCAGAATCTTTCTTCTCTTGAGGAGTCCATTGACTCTTTGGTTTTGCT